AAAAAAGAGAAACTCCAGTTTTTTTGATACTAGCCTGGAACCAGGATACTATTTTTTGTATGTAGCTACATAAGTTTAAGAAAGATATTTCCAGAATCAATTCTTAGGTATAGTAGATTTTATAGTATTTTTTGTACCGTGATTTTTTTTTCAAACCTCAATAACTCAGTCAATTTATGTCACAAAGGTTAATAAACTATATATTCTTGGTGGGGAAATACAGGAGCAGGTCTGTACAGGTTTATGATGCTGTATGACATCATCTCAATTTTGGTAGTATCCCAACCACTTCTCAACAAATTCTCAATTGATGGATGTTATCCATTTTATATCCATTTCATAACTTTCTCATAACTTTCTCATAACTTGCTAGGGTCGGTGGGAGGCACTGGCCTGCCAGTGACTTGTGATTGGGGGCTGTGATTTAGAAGAGAAAAAAAATTAAACAGATAGATAGGTTTTGAATACAGAACGAGGTTGATCTGAGATCTGAGGATTTTAGGCGGTAGCCATTCTCATAACCTCTTAGATTCGTAATCAGCTGGAACAGCGAGAGATAGAATCAAGGAAAGGTGAGAATATGTTATTGCATATCATACAAGTTAAGAGCAAACCCGGTTCGCCCAAAACTGGACAAAATTTGGGCAAAACATGGTTTAAACCCTTTTTTCACCCTTACCCCCTTAGCCCATATACTTGTAAGTCAATCCTATCTCACAATTCCTTCTCACCTCATTAATGTTTTTGTCCCGCCAGTTCCAATCTGTTTCTCCATGGCCAATACTATTGCTCAACTCAAAACTCGTCTGGATCAAGATATCTTTGATCCAATCCTTTCTAGACCTCTAAGAATCTGCAGATTATCTAATCCACCTTCCCAACCATTGATCTCAACTCTCAACCTTCAAGATTTCTCAAGCCTTTACCCAAACCAATTAATCCTGTATCAGATCAAATTAATTCCAATGAAGCTCTCTTAACTCATCCAGAAAACTATTTAGTCATTGAACAACAAACTGATGGTAATTGGTTATACATCAAGTCTGATCAATCTCAAACCAATCAGGAAGTTTCAGATGAACAAACTGTGCTTTCAGTATTTGGTGACAAGCCTTGGTTATATCAAATGGATTGAATGATCAATCTCAATAAACGCAATCCTAAATATAAAGAAGGTCCGATTACCACTCTTAAATCTCCAGGATCTGATGCTTCAGCTCAAAAGGCTTCTTCAATCCAGGGAACATGTGTTGTAAGTCTTGATGTTGCGCTCTTTCCTACCTTTCTATCGCATTGACTCATCTATATGTTTATGGTAAATAGTTATGAGTCCGATTTACAATGTAAGAGTAATTGCGCAGAATTAAAGTAATACTTTTTATCAAGAGTTCACGTAATTGAATCGAACCGATCGAATCTATTGGATATGGGAGGAAAAGTAGCTGAAACAATCAGACAACTAATCAAAAAGTTATGGACTTCAGCACCTGGAGAATTTCAATCGATCGTGGAACGTTTGTTTCATTATTTTTAGTTATTGGTTGTTCTTTAAATGGCTGTGATCGAAGATTGGATATGGCAAGATCCGGATCGACTGGATGCAATCTCAGAAATAGATGTGATCAACATCTTTGAAACTCTCATGACTTATCATTCAGCAAAGGGTGCGGTATATCTTGGTCATTTTCAGGACCGGTGGTGCCTTATCGACCAGTCTAGAAGGGTACTAGAGCAATGTCAAGTAGCTCGATCCAACATGGCAATCATTTATTACCCATTTTGGGTTCTTTTTTCTTGTTGCTCTCGGTCCTGATCAAGTACTTCAACTGCCAGGAGATATTGGATGATTCATGCACGCTTTCGGTCTTTCATCCTCACCATACCTTCAGTCAACTAATGGGCTCAGCACTCGCTGCAGCAAAGCCGCAGATCGAGTTTCCCGGCAATCTTCTTCCTAGGAGGCAATCATTCCACTATCACCTCAAGTCTTGGCTTTACACCTGCAGCTCAAGCTCGATTAGATGCTGACATTCATGCCAATCAAAGACACTGAACATCAAACCAAGTATCACATCTGATAAAATCCCAACTCATTCACTATGGCCATCCTATCACCCAAAACGAATCAAATAAAAATGATCACACATCACTTAATTTAATCAACTTCATCATCACCATCATCCTCAACTCCAAACTATCCATCAATTAGAAAACTTTCATTATCATTTCAAACACCACCAACAAGTTCATTTAATCCAAATAATTCTTCTAGATCATTTTAAGTGATTTAGATATGGAATCTAATTCAAATCAATATACAAATGATTTACCACACCTTATGACTTTGGTTGATTCTGAGTTTATGGGATTTGCTTCTGCTATATTCATGCCATTTGACATTGGTCAAACTTCAATGCGAGTTCAATAGATACTTGAAGATGATCTTCAGAGGAAAATTCAAAAAAATAAATCATGGTAATTTAGATGGCTCATTTGATGATGATTTGGATTTAGCAGATGATGATGAAGCTTCTTAGCGAGTTTTTTCTCAACAAATAGTTTTTTTAATCATTTTTTGGTTAATCTTTTCATTGACATTATTTATTTGAGTATTTTAATTTTACTAAAACTCGTACAGGAACAAGAATCTCATTAGCTTCATCAAATTGTTGATTGATACCCGGTAATACATAACAACAACCGAAACCACGATTAAATGATCCAGACCAAAGACTACAACCAGAATTCTACCTATAACACTTCAAGGAGGAGTGACTGATAGAGTAAAATAAATCTGTAGATGACGTGGTGAAGGTCTTATTGCAGCATGGGAAGGACAAGCAATGACATTTATAACCAGAAGACATTCAACTCTTTTCATCTTTCAATTCTTTCAGGTCTTTTGTTCATTTCTCCAATTCAATTTTGTAATACTACAACTCCTTCAATTAGTTTACCACTTGAAAATCATGAACATCCGGCTTTAACTCAACGTTTTCTAGGAGTTCTTATTTGTTCACAGGTCTTTTACTTCCACCTTTAGATCTAATCAAAACTCATTTGATGATTCAATCTTCTCAACTAAGATATCGGAAATATAGTGGTAGTATGATTGAAGAATCGGAATCAAGACCACTTTTCAGATTACTTTCAATTGAAGCTCATGAACGTGCTAGATGGATGTGAAGTGCAACAGATTTGAAGTGGTAAGCTACAAGGCATTTTTTTCAAGTGAAGTGAAGTGCTAAGTCTTGGTCCACAAGCTAAACGGTATAATCAAGTATGACAAATGGTTGTAGCCACTCATCAACCACCTTTTCAAACAAATTTAATAAAAACAAAGCCAAATGAAACAGATGTATCATCAACTTATCATACAGATAGATCAGATCGATCCACAAATGAACACGTCTTTGATCCTTGGACTCGTTCAGTTTTATTCAAAATGTTATTAATATATCAAATTGAAGGTTGTATTTCAACTGGTAAAGAGGCCAATGTATATCATGTAATTTCTATTATTGATCATTTCACAAATCAATCAAAACCCATCAGTTTAGCATTAAAGATTTATAAAACTTTGATTTTAGTTTTCAAAGATAGAGATAGATATATGAAAGGTGAATTTAGATTTAGACAGGTTATGCTAAAAAAAACAAGGAAGATGTTAAGATTACGGGCAGAGAAAGAGTTACACAATTGAAAAAGACTAGCTGAAAAGAAAATTAGGTGTCCCAGAGTACTTGAACTTGGATCTGATGTTTTAGTGATGGAATTCTTGGCTTTAGGAAATGAACAAGATGGTTGTATTCAAGGTGGATGCTCATTTACGTAACCTTGGTCAAGGATTGGAAGGATTGTATTGGGAGTTGAGATTTATGTATCAACAATGTAAATTGGTACATGCCGATCTTAGACTTAGTGAATACAACATTCTGTGAGTGTCTTTTTTTCATCTCTTCATAGGTAAATTTTGGCTTTGGGAACTTACTTTTGATTTGCATTTTCAGATATAATCATGGTCATCTTTATATTATTGATGTGTCTCAATCAGTCAAACCTGATCATCCATCATCTTTTGGTTTCTTACAATCAGATTTAACAAATGAAGACCAATTATTTTTGACATGAGGATTCAACACCCTTGGTTTGAAGAAATCATTTGAATGTACAACTGAGAAGAAACCAAATTCAATCAAAACTGGAAAACAATCAATTGAGTGGATTGAAGAGTTGATAGATTTGAATGATTGGATAGAAGAAGAAGAAGATAATGATGATGAAGTAAATCAAAGTAATCATGAAGAAATCTTTAGACAAGCTTATATACCTCATATACTCAATGAAGTGTAGGACACCAAAAGAGATGTAGAATTCATTTTGAAAGGGAAAAGTGCAGATTTGACTTATAAGAATTTAGCCCTTTGTTCTTCAAAAACATTGCAAGAGGTTTCTGATGTGATACCAATTCCAATTTTGATCTCAATCTCAACTCATCTTCATTCAAAACCATCAATCATCAAAGTTAAAGTTGATTCAAGTTTGTCTTGAAATGGTTCAACAACAAGTAAGTCAACTCAAAGTCAACCTACCTTACTCACCAACTAACTAACTACCATTATCATTCTTAACATTTTCTTTCAATCATCAAGAACAATCAATCCAAATCCAACTCCAATTCCCACCTATAACATTAATTCAATCAATCTCAATCAAATTTACTCACAATCAATCGAGCCAAATTCTTTTCAATGTGCTCAACCAAATCAATCTCAATCCTGCCATCAACTTTCTTATCATCTGTCAATCTCATCAAATTTGTCTTTTGAATACACATTCTTATCAAATCATTCTGACTGATTCAGTCATACAAGGTGCATTTGATCTCGATCCACCTTCTCTTACTCCACTTTCATCATCTCAATCAAATCATTAACAACTATCAAATCAATTCAATCAAGAAGATAATGTAGATGAAATCAGAATCAAACCTGACTTTCTTGTTCAATTTGTTGGTAGTCATGGGTATCTCAATTTGGCCTTTATGATCATCAAGTTCAAAAAATCAACACTGCAGCTTTGTAAACATCAACCGGAAAGAAAAATCAGCTTCAAGTAATCAGATTCAGTAGAAAAAGATAAACACTGAGAACTTCATCCATGACTGACTCATCTATTGATATACATTTAATCACGGTTCTGACTTGATTGAATTATAACTGTCATTTGGGAATTCATAAATACTGATCAAGCTCTTTTGATTCAAAGGTTGGTTCCCAAGATTGCATCTTGGATGCCAATCAACAAGTAAATTTCAATGCCATCCAGCTTGGTCAATGTACAGATGCAGTTCTCAAATCATAATGTGCTAAACGTTGATGCCGAATATGCATTGCTGGAATAAGAATTGAGAACCCTATAGACCTATGTTACAAAGATATCAAGTAAGCATTTCTGCTGTCTCATCTGTTATGTTACAGATCCAATTGGGTGACAGCCAAGAACAACAGTGGGGATAATGAGTACCAACCAGTTATCTTTGTGACAGTCCATTTAGATTCAGGAGTCTGTCATACAAGTGATTCAGAAAAAAACTCATCCATTTGGGTTCAATGAAGATTTGACTATCTGCAGGACCTCATATATGCACTGTTCTCTAAACCAAGTACAGACCCCAAAGATTGTGCTCAAAGCATAGAGAATGTATTCCTTATTCAGCTTCTGGTTCATTGATGTGCACATCATTTGTAGGTGTTAAATATCCTACCAATGCCTGGGATGCAAAAACTAAACCCAATCAAGCCCACCAATCAGAGTTGTGCCTGGTTGATACAATCCACCACTTGCTTGGTTAATGATGATAGACCCATGGGGTAATAAAGTTGTCATGTTTGCCAATGATATGTCCAATGCTGGTCAAATACTGTCTGTTGTAAATGTAAAATTGGCCCATTGTGTGAAACCAGTTTTGCTTGAACTTGAGGCTCACACACATAGTGAGTTGTCACTGTTTCAAACCGTGCAGGATGTGTTTTTAGGTTATGTTTGCAAAATTGGTAGGAGGTGGTCTAACCAGCTGCTTATGCCCTAAATGACTCATCACACCAATGGATGAAAAGATTCTTTCTGATCCAATAGGTAAGATGATGAGGCACAAAGGATGCCCAGTGACAATTTATGACTCTTCACAGCAAATCATGAAGTGGTTGGTTGATAAGATCAAGAGCCTTGAAAGATTACTGGAGTAGAATGCAATTTTTTTGAAATGGAACCAATGGAAGTTGAATGAAGATGGAAATGACCTTAAAACGGAATAACTTGATACTCCTAAAGGTTGTAAAAAATCAAACATTGAGATTCCCCTTTTGCAGTTGAAAGCTGATCAGAGTCTTCTTGAAATGACATGTGACCAATTGCCTTCCTGGTGAAATATATGTCTCTGGTATAGTTTGTTAGGCCAATTGGAAATCATGTTTCAAGTAATCAAAGACTGATCCTGACTAATTCACATCATCTTGACTGATTGCAAAAGTGTACAATGGGTAGGGAGTGGTAGTGGGGACATGGTTAAAGATAAAATTGCTCCACGTTTTCAATAAAATGTCATCAGAATCAGCAAATAGGTGGTTTTGATCAAGATATTGTTGTAAATACAACTGACTGGTTGATAATGTACATACTGCATCCAGAATTGGCAAAAGAAACTGGGGCATCCTGAATGTTGTGGTACACTGCAGGAAAAGTGGGGTTGAAATTGAAAGTTTGAGACTCAAAGCCAGCATCAGTTACCAGGGCGGCGCCCGCCGCCTGATTGGCTAGTGAAGAGAAAAAGAGAGAAGCCTACCTGGAACAGCAAGAGATAGAATCAAGGAAAGGTGAGAAGAGAAGCACCTTTCCTGAGCTGTTCCAGTAGGCTTATATAGTGAAATAACAAGCTGAGGTATCACATGACTAACAAGTTGCTAAGCACACGCAATGACATATGAACTAGAAATGAAATGATATATGAAATAATGTCAACGCAGGACAGGAGAAGACAGAGGTCACAAGACTGACATTTCTGGGGATAGTCACGCAGGACTGTGTAATGAGAAAGGAAACACATGTAAAGTAGAACTATCTCAACAGTCCAAGGGATTGTATATCCAAGGATACCTTAGATTTGGAAATACAAGGTATCTTTGCCAGCAGTGTTGCTATCAACACATTCCTGAGTTCTAGATTGCTAATTCACTTGAGCACCATTATACTTGGCTTCCAGCTCAGCGTTAACTTATGCCTATGTGCATAATTGTTTTGGTGTGGGCCACCTTCATGTTCTCATCCGACAATTCTAACCTTGGTCTACATTGTAGCCCCCCTGATGCCAACAGACTGGTTCAAGTTTTAATTATACTCACAATTCAACAATTGAACTCCATTTTCTCAAAAATAAAATAAAAAAAGCATCATCACCAGCAAAATCAGTTTTCTGTTTTTGACACCATATTTTATTATCTGAGTGGGATAGCATAAGGTCACAATGTTCTTGAGCAGTGCATCAGGCCTTGTTGAGATGTCTTTCTTTTCTGGCTCTTGCATCAGGACATGCCAGGAGTAGCCTGGGCTTGGCTCCTGCTTTCTGGCACTGTTCAAATCCAACCCAAGAGAAAAGTAACGTAATTGGGAAGTTTGTAAATTTCATATGTAAACCAAAATTTGATCAATTTCATCCAAATAGAGGCTTTATTCTTTTGATTATAAGCTATTGTTGTGGTTTGTCAAGATATATTCTTACCTTAGCATACTGTCTACTTCAAGAATAATCATAAAACTGTGAAGTAAAATCAACGCTGGATCACTACGCTACTCAACGCTACCAGGACAAATCCAGATAGCGTAGATGGGCAAGTTAATATAATAACGCAGTAGCGTTATTTTGGGGACTGTCAGCTAACACTTCTGCATTAGTGTGCCTTGAACAAGCTAACATTTTTTTGAATTGCAATAACGCATTCGTAGTGCGTTACAAAAACTTGCTAACAACTAACATAACTGTCAATCAATTTTCCCGGCTGTCCGCTCAATTTGACCCCGCCGCGTAGCCACACTCGACTCCCTACAAGGCGTTCGATATTCCACGCTGAAAGTGATCCTCGATTGCTTGATTGCTTGCACAAACATCTGCTGCAGCCAAAAAGGTATGCTCTGCGGGAGCCAAGGATCCGCAGCAAGCAAGATAGCCGTGAGCGAGTAAGGCTAGAACAGGATATCTTGATGCCTTGTTCTGTTTGAAATCATGTATTCACATAAGGACAGCGGAGGAGAAAGACAGATTAAGTTGTTGAAATAGTTACTTACTTTCCACCAAGTAAAAATGCTATGAGGATTGTGAGCTTGATCTTTGTTTAAGACATCAGTGATCTTCACCTTCAGGAGGTGAAGTCCTTAAATCAGCGCAGGGGTACGCTAACAAGTAACAGCTGATGATCAAATCTTAATCTCTGTTAACATAGATGGAAAAAGCCAACTGACACTACAAACGTAGCGGGGGCAAGTTATCACACATGGCGGGGTCTGGTAGTGTAGATCTCCACATCTAACGGAAAGTGTTGGTGTAGCTGCGTGAAAAAGTTACACTAACAGCTTCCCTAACACTTTTTTAGCGTAATTGGTCCAGCGTTGGTAAAATGTGTTTGAAAATGAAGTCAATTATATTTTGACATTGATTGAAATCTTCATGTATCACTTTGGAAGTTCTCAAACTGGTCTACTTGGTTTATAATTATGAATGCTGATCACAATCAAAATCTTGTACTGACACTTTGCATTATTTATGGGATACAAAGTTAAATCTGGGATTTTTTTCCCGGTTTCCCAGTTTTTGTTTTTCACTGTGTTTGGAACTTTCCCACATTCTCCTGGTTTCCCAGTTTGGGTTTTTGGCTGTATCTGGGGGAAAAAACTCCCAGATTTAACTTTGTATCCAATGATTGATACACCACAAACCCTCTTTTCGTTGAAAAACCGGTGCCAGGGGGTTTTGAATTGGACCCGCCAACAACCCAATGGCGCTCTGGCAAATTGTTGGACTGTGATCCATTTTCTGCGCAGTAGATTGGGTGCCGGTTGTTTGACCAGTGTCCAAGCAG